TCCTCCGCCACGGTGTGGGAGGCCAGCGTGCAGCTCAGTGGGCATTGGCGTGGGGAGAGGTCCTCCTCCTACACGGTGTGGGAGGCCAGCGTGCAGCTCTGTGGGTGGGGAGTTCCCCTGACATCGCGGCTACCCTTCTCCCAGGGGCTTTCCGTGGCGAGGCTGTGACAGGCACCCGTGTAACCTCTCACTCTGGCCCACAGGTAAGAACTGGGACCTGACAGCCGCGCTGAGTGACTACGAGCAGCTCCGGCAGGTGCACACGGCCGGCCTGCCCCACGCGCTCAGCCAGCGGTGCTGTGCCCCGCAGCCCGGCCACAAGGCGGAGCGGCCGTGCCTGCAGCGGCAGGGTGACATCGCCCAAGGTACTGACGGTGACCCTGCTGGCCACGGCCTGGGCCCACGCAGGGCTGGCAGGTGGGGCGGCTGTGGGGCTGCAGGCCACCACCCTGCTGCAGACATGGCAGACTCCGTGTCGTTCGTCCCCGGCTGCAGTGGCCTTCCTGCCTTCCTGGCTCCGAGAGTTCCCTTACGTGTCCATTGTCCCCAGCAGTGGCCAGAGGCCATCGTCCCCCCGAGTCCAGACTGGGCAGCTCTGGGTCCTCTGGCTACCCCCAGGAGCACGTCTCCCAGCCTGCCCAGGCCCTGCCTGCCACCCTACACGGCTTCCTCCGCTCGGGAAGGACACAGGTGTCCTCCATGCCCAGACCCCGTGGAGCCGTGTGCGCCCACAGCGCCTGCCCGCCCCGCCCCACCCCTGCGCTTGTTCAAAATGTGCAGGGCTGTCCTTAAGGGCCATTGTCACTGAGGGAGGGACCATGACACGGCCTCTCAAAGCTGTGTCTTCTCCCACGCAAACATCACGTGTGCGTGTGCGTGTGCGAGCCGGCAGCGGGGTGGGCGAGCCGGCAGCGAGCCACGCCCAGGCTCGCTCAGCGCCCGTGTCCGTGTCGCCCTGCCCCCTGCAGAGAAGCGGCTCTCCCGCGGCATATCCCACGCCAGCTCCGCCATCGTCTCCCTGGCGCGGTCCCACGTGGCGAGTGAATGCAGCAGTGAGCAGCTGCCCCTGGAGATGCCTGTCTACACATTCCAGCTGCCAGACCTGAGTGTGTACAGCGAGGACTTCCGCAGCTTCATCGAGCGGGACCTGATCGAGCAGGCCACCATGGTGGCCCTGGAGCAGGCCGGTGAGTGGCCTGCCTCGGGGCAGTTGCCGGCTCGGGCCTCTGCTTGGGGGCTTTCGGCTTGGACCCAGGTGCACCCCAGCCTGCTAGGGCTGGTGCCACGTGCCAGAGCCTGGGTTCCCTTCGCTCCTGGAGCCCAAGCCCTGAGGCGGACCCCGTGGCCCCGGCCCTGCTGCCCCCGTGGCACCGCCCTGTTGAGCGTGTGTTGGCATCTCACGTGCTCACTCTGGGTTTCTGGTCAGGACACATGAGGTTGCAGGAGCAGATGGGCAGGCGCCACCCCTGCTCCCTCCAACGGCTTTGCCTTGCGCCTCCTTCCCCTTCCATGCCTCCCCCTCGGGGGCAGCGCACCCTGCCCGCCACCTCCCCCCTGGGCGCCCACACAGACAGCAAAGAGGGACCCGGGTTAAACAAAGCGCGGCAGGGCAGGTTTGTGAATGAGACGTTCTTGCTGTGGTGACAGCTCTGCCTCTGAGCTACGGTCACTTTTGAGGGTCTTAATTCCCAAGCATGGCTGTGGGCTTTGTCCTCATTTCATTACTCCCACCATGAAAGCAATAACACCTTTTATTAAAATTAATACTTAATAACAGCAGTTGGAATGCAAAAATGTAAATAATGCCCCTCTAATTATTTAAATCCTAATACAATTCTCTGGAAAAAAAAAAAAAAAGCTTGCAATTAAAGTGTGTAGTCACAGTTTCTGGGAAATACCTACGAAACGCTCTCGCTTGACTGAACTACACAGAGCCGAAGGCCCTGAGGGGTGGCTGCTGGACCTCACCCCCACACGGCTGGTACACAGACGTGCATATCGCTAGGAGTTCCATGTGGCACTAAGGGTGAGGATGCGGCCACTCGTACACCTCAGCGGGTTTTACAGCAATGTCGGCGTTGCCCAGGAGCGCCGTGGCGGTGCGGTCCCTGTTGCTGGAAGGCCGTCGCCAGGTGACTGCACCTGGTGCTTTCCTCGGAGCACGTGACCGGTGCCAAGCATGGCAGGTCCCTGCAGCCACCTTGCCCTGTCACGTGAGCTGTGTGGCCCTCCCCACCTCCCTCCGTGCCCAAATCCCACAGTGTATGTGTGGGTGTGTGCCCCAGAGGCTCCCTGAGAGGGTGGTTGTCCTGGCCTGGGGTCATAGTAGGGCTGGCAGGGTGTACCCCAGGCATATGACTGGCATCACGAGAACAGGCCCTCGAGTGGTCCCCACCAGCCTCGTGTTCTCCTTCCCGTTGGTACAGCCTGGGAGTGGGAAGGTGGCCCGATGGCCCGTGTGCAGGTAATGGTGTAGGAATTTCTTAGAGATTTCCCCAAGGCACGGTGCCGTTTATGCCCCGGGAGCATGTTCGCTTTGAGGCATGTTTCAGTTAGGATTCAGCTCACAGTCACCCCGGGTCAACACAGCCGCTCGCTCGAGATGGGGCTCCGGACTCGGACCCGGGCGTCTCTCCTCGCCGCTGTGGCAGCCTTGGGTCTCCTTCCGCTTGGTGTGGGTGTAGCTATTCTGCTTTAATGGCACTGTCCCCACCACTGCCGCCTCTTCGGCATTGTCAGTCCCGCGCATGAGACGGCGTCTTGGGTGTCTGCCCACCTTTCTGAGCCGGGGGTCTGGCTGTCACTCGTGCACACTTACAAGTCCTTTCTCAGAAGCGCTTTTCAAATATTTTCTCCCACCCGGAGGCTTGCCTTCCCATTGTGCACGGCGTCTGTCGATGGACAGAATTCTGCTCGACGAGGTCCGTAGTACCAGGTTCCCTTTGCCTGTCCCAACCCTGCTCTGGTTTTTCCTGAGGGGCCTTACAGGCTGAGCTCACAATCTTAGGTCTTGGGGACTGCTAAGTTTAGCGTCACCGCGTGGCCGTGGCCCCTCAGGCCAGTGCGTGCACACGTGCTAGGCTGGAGTCCCTCCCCACGTACCCTCACGTGCTCACCAGGGAGTGGAAAGGACTTCCTTCCCTCCCCCAGAGCACTCAGACCTCCGTGTGGGTAGGAGGCCAGCTCATCACAAATGTGCATCTGCGTGGTCCGTATTATTCTGTGGTGCATTTGTCTTTTCATTTTCTCAAAGGTCATTTATTTATCTCATACACGAGAGAGGGAGACAGGCACTCCAGTAGGGCCGTGACACAGCAGCCCGCCCCAGTGGCCTGCCCACCTGGACCACAAGCATGCACGCGTGCACACGACTGGCCCAGGGAGGCTCCGAGAAACCACTTGGGACCTTCCTGTGCATGTCGGCTTGGTGGAGGGTGGCTGCGAGCTGCTCTTCTCCAGGGAGGAATTCTTTAGAGTAAGTGTTGCAGAATGTAACCACACAGCCTAGCTGTTGTAGTGGCCCACAGAGTGAGTGAGATGTAACCCTCCTTACAAAAGTATCTATCCAAACATCACCCCAGGGAGGGGAAACTCTGTTCCATAAACTGGAAGAGAAGCGCTACACTGTATACGCCCCCAGCTCAGGGGCTTGGCCTCAGGTTCCTTCCTGTCTCCCACCTCCTGTGGTAGAGGTGACAGGGCTGTCCTTGTGGGAAAGCAGCTGCAGTGCTGTCCCTTTCTGGTGCCTCTGCAAAGCCTGCGCCGCAACACGCTCGGCGTCCCCGCCTCCCGGGCCCTGTCCTAACCTGTGCTTCTGCCCCAGGGCGCCTGAACTGGTGGTCCGCTGTGTGCACCAGCTGCAAACGGCTCCTCCCTTTGGCCACGACGGGGGACGGGAACTGCCTCCTGCATGCGGCCTCTCTGGGTGAGTTCCCCTGCACCGACAGAGGGCGGGGGCTCGGGGCTGCTCCATGTGTTGTTGAAGGACAGACAGGTGCTACAGAGAGCTGCTTGTCCACCGCCATGGTGTAGCTTTCTATGCAGAAATGCTCATGAGCTTCCAGACAACCTAACAGAGGAATCACCTGGAAATAGAACAGCAAACCTAGCCCTTCTCGTCCAGTCCTTGGAGGCTCAGGGCAGGGGGAGAGAGAACACAAGAGAGAAGGCCTGTCTTGACAGCAGGAGACTTTGGTCTGAGCTGCAAGGCTGGGAGTTAGAGACTGTGGCCTGTAGCAACCACAGAGGACTTCCTGTAGGAGGTGGGGCCTTTACTGAGATGTGAAGAGGTTGAAGCATAGGGAGAAGGACTTTCCAGGCACGAGGGCTACAGGGACAGGCCCTGGGGCAGGGGTGGACACACAGCAGGAAAGGCTGAGCCAGGTGAGACGGGTCAGGAAGTCCCGAGTGCCTGAGCTCAGGGAGCTGCATGACCAACAAGGATGTGGACCCTACAAGACAGGTACAGGTTCCGGTGGCTCAAGCCCGGGCCCCATAGCCAGAGCGCACAGCAGAGCTGTCAGACACACACCTCCTGAGGGAGACACTGCCCTGGCTGCAGCTGCAGAGCCTGGGGGTTCTCCCCAGCCCTAGCCCCACGGACAGAAGGCCCCATCATTGCAGACAGGCGGGGCTGTCTTTGTGCCAGGGGCCTGGCCTTGCAGCAGCCTGAGTGGAGTCTCCTTCCACTCCCCAAGTGAACGGGGCCTGAGCTGGTGCCAAGCCCCAGGGTCAGGGTCGGGGTCAGGACTCGCTCTAGTCCTGCCGAAGGGCTGCCCAGCAGGAGAACGGCAGGGCCAGGACCCATGGCGCCTCCAGGGAAGCACAGCGGGGGCTGAGAGGGCCGGGGCCAGAGGAGGGGTCCAGGGACTGGCGTGAGCAGGAACAGCAGGGCCCGGCCAGGCCCACACATGCTCAGGAGGCTGCCGTGGGGCAGCCGCTGCCGTGTCCTCACGGCCCCCTCACACCCTCTCTGCCCCTGGCCCTGGCTGCAGGGATGTGGGGGTTCCACGACCGGGACCTGGTTCTGCGGAAAGCACTCTACACCATGATGCGGACAGGGGCTGAGCGGGAAGCCCTGAAGCGGAGGTGGAGGTGGCAGCAGACGCAGCAGAACAAGGAGGTGGGCCCCACCCCTGCCTCCCTGCTGGACGGAGGTCCCGGCCCGGCTGGGAGGGGTTCTGGGCTCAGGAACGTGGAGAAGTGGCTAAAGCCCGCAGTCACAGCTCCGGGCACAGCTGTGCAGATGGAACAGCAGGGCGGCTTCTGCCACTCCACACTGTCCTGGTCACAGGCTGACCCCGGGTGGCCCACTGTCAGGTGCAGGCCCATCCCTACCCCTGTGCAGTCCGGAGTCCCAGTCGCCACTGCAGTGCACCTGTGCATGCTCGGCCGGAGTGCCCCTTCTGCTGCAGGTGCCCTCCCCAGGCCCCCGAGCTCGGCCTGCCCGGGGGCCTGCTCAGTGTCCCCCCAGCAAGGTCCTTCCTAGTGGGTGGACCGCAGAGCCCTGAGCCTGGAGACAGGGGTTCTGAGTACATTGTCCGTGCCAGAGTGGGCGTCCCTGGCCACCAGCGGCATGCCCAGCCTGGGTCCCCACCGGGGAGGGAGCCGAGGAGCAGGGAATGGCCAGCACCCTGAGCCACCTCCCTCGGTGCAGTCGGGGCTGGTGTACACAGAGGATGAGTGGGAGCGCGAGTGGACGGAGCTGCTGAAGCTGGCCTCCAGCGAGCCACGCACGCACATTGGCCAGAACGGCGGGTCGGGGGGCC